AAACTGTCCTTGTGTCTAGTTGTTCTGGTGTGCAGTGCTCTATAGCGTCATTTTGAGGGTAGGAGTTGAAAGAGTTTATGTCCAGAATGCGAGGGTCTGTAAATATTTTCACAGCCCTCTTTTTAACTCGTGCAGTATACAGGTCCTCAATGGAAGGCAGGTTGGTAGCCATTGTTTTTTCCGCAGTTCTAATGATCCTCTGAAGTCTGTGTCTGTCTTGTTGGGTTGCAGAGTCAAACCGGACAGTTATGGAGGTGCAGATGACAGACTCAATAATTCCTCTGTAGAACTGGATCAGCAGCTCCTTGGGCAGTTTGAGCTTCCTGAGTTGGCGCAGAAACAACATTCTTGATGTTGGGTGTCCATTTTAGGTCTTGAGATATGGTAGAACCTAGAAATCTGAAGGCCTCTACTGTTGCTACTGTGTTGTCTAGTATTGTGAGAGGTGGAAGTATGGGAGGGTTTCTCCTAAAGTCCACCACCATTTCTACGGTTTTGAGTGTGTTCAGTTCCAGATCGTTCCGGTCGCACCACGAGGCTAGTTGTTCAACCTCCCGTCTGTATGCGGATTCATCATTGTCTCGAATGAGACCAATCACTCTTGTGTCATCTGCGGACTTCAGTAGTTTAACAGATGGATTGTTTGAGGTGCAGTCATTGGTATATAGAGAGAAGAGAAGTGGGGAGAGCACACAGCCTTGGGGGGCACCTGTGCTAATTGTAGAGATATCTGATGTGATTCTGCTTAGCTTCACCTGCTGCTTCCTGTTTGTTAGGAAGCTTATGATCCACTTACAAGTGTGTTCAGGTACCTGTAGCTGGTTTAGCTTAGTTAGAAGAGTGTCTGGAATGATGGTATTGAATGCTGAACTAAAGTCTACAAAGAGGACCCTTGCGTAGGTCTTTGGAGAGTCAAGATGTTGTAGGATGTAGTGCAGAGCCATATTAACAGCATCATCCGTTGGTCTATTTGCTCGGTACGCAAATTGCAGGTCCACCTATTCTCCAAAGCACCTGAAGGCAGGAGAAGAAGCAATGGATGGAAACTAATCAAGAAGAGAAGAAGCAACCTGGAACTAAGGAGGAATTTTCTGACAGTGAAATGGAATTTCCTAACCAGTGGAACAACTTGCCTCCAGAAGTTGTGAATGCTCCAACACTGGAGGTTTTAAAAAAGAGATTGTACAACCCATTTGTCTGGAATGGTGTAGGGTCCCCTGTACCTTTTAAGAAAGGACTAAGTTACAGTTGGTTTAAGTTGTAAGAAGGCAGATGAATCCTAGAAAATTTTTAATGAACAGTGGTGGAAATGAACAATGACTCCCAAGAAGCAGAATTTTCCTCCTTCATTGGGTTCATTCAACAGAGGTTGGGCAACCATCTACTGTAACTGGGATGCTTACACCTGGATTCCTACTCAGAGCAGGGTGTGTGCGGTCCTGATAGCCTCAAGGATACCTTCCAATGGTGGATTCTATAGTACCTGCTCATTTGTGGGAGGTCGAGTCTGATGAGAATAAAACAAAAAACAAAAGAAAGACACTGACATTCCTCAATTTATGGCCACAATCTCCGTTGTTAAGCAAGGCCAGAGGTGGTATTCAGCCGGTTCAGACCAGTTCGTGGTAACCGGTAGTGGCGACCTGGCTCAATGACGGTCACGCACACAAGCGAATTGCTGTGTTTTGTGACGGTGCACTGCGTGCACAAGCGCTCACTCACTTTTCCGGTGCTGGGGCAACCGGTTGCTATAGTATGTGACGCCCACCTCTGAGCCAGGCGGTTGTTAAATGAGTCACGCTTGAATTTACAATCTTTTTGGCCATGGCTGTTCAGCAAATCACTGCAGTCGTTAAGCGAGTCACAGTCGTTAAGCAAATCCATCTTCCCCTTATTGACTTTGCTTTTTCGGAAGCCGGGAAGGTCGCACAGGGTGATCACATGACCCCAGGATGCTCAAACCATCAACAATACAAGCTGGTTGCCCAAATTTTGATCAGGTGTCCTCGGGATTTCTGGGACGGTTGCTAAGGGCCAGGATCACTTGGAAGTCCCTGCTTTCAGTGCCGCCGTGACGTCGAACCGTTGCAGAAATGAATGGCTGTAACTCGAGGACGACCTGTATATGGGAAGATTATCGCTCAGAAAAGATGGCGGGTCCAGAAAAGATCGGATAGCAATGTTGGGCCAACCGGCACGCTGTTTTAATTTATTGAGAAAAAGTCGACACACAGAACAGGAAAAAATGCTTGCTCAGCAGTTCAGGATTCAAAGAGGCACCCGAACTATCCAGAGTATATTCTTACGAGATGCATACAATTCACAAAACCTATTAGTTCCTTACTCGAGGAGCAATCTGTAACCATGAACCAAGAGCAGTTATTGCTTCGAAGGCAAGTTACGTAGCAGGATTTTACTGGAAACAGGGGAGAAGTTAACTCCCGTACAAGCTCTGTAGAAAATAATGAATATTAGTACAGCTCAATGAATAATATTAAGGTGGGAGGTGGAAGCCTAGAAGTCAATCCCGCCTCCTGACATTTCGATGGCATTTCATAAATGCAATGTTTCCCAGGACGGCCAGCTTCTGAATAAGTGGACTTCAACTCCCAGAATTTCCCAAAGGTGTTGTTGTTTTTTTTTCCCAAGAGGCAACTGGACTTTCTGGTTTTTCTTTGAAGAGGTTTCGCTTCTCATCCAAGAAGCTTCTTCGGCTCTGACTGAATGGCGGAGAACGGAAGGATCTATACTCCTTGCAAACGGCTGGTCGTTTGCATCCTTTGAGAGAGTCGTTGAGGCCACTTGGTTTGAAAGAGGGGTCAAAGAAGCCATCTATGTCAAAACTGAACAGCCCTCTCTCAACGGAGGGGGAGGGGTACGAAATCATCTATCTCCTGTTTACAACACAGTCCTTTCAGCAGTTCCAAGGAGGCTCCGCACCCATTTGCACCACTCAGGTGACCCTGAGGACACAAAGAAACCCCCAAGTGACCTCAACGACTCTCTCAAAGGATGCAAATGACCAGCTGTCTGCAAGGAGTATAAATCCTTCTCTTCCCCACCATCCGGTCAGAACTGAAGAAGCTTCTTGGATAAGAAGCGAAACGTCTTCAAAGACAAACATAGAAAGTCCAGTTGCCTCTTGAAAAAGCACCTTTGGGACAGTTATGATCTGAATGGCCGAGAATCTCCATAGACAACTTCCAGAATGTTCATTCAATGATCAAGCAGGTGAGGGAATTCTGGGAAATGAAGTCAACATGTCTGGAGGTTCCCCAAATTGGAATTTATAGGCCCGTGATGGTGAATCTATGCCACAGGTGGCACGTGTAGCCATATCGGTGGGCACACAAGCTCAGCTGCGGCACGCTGGGATCATCAGAGGCTTTTAAAAGCATTTTTTTCTACAACCTCTGGTCCGAACCGGGAGCATTTCAACCCTGCTTCCATCCCTTGCTTCATGTCCTGACTTCAGGTGCTTTGGAGAATAAGTCGACCCCCTCTTCTTCGTGGCAGCATCTCAAATACCGGAAGACTGCTAATTGATGGAACAGCTTCCCTCCAGAAGTCCCAGAGCTGAGGAAGCTTCTTGGATGAGAAGCGAAACATCTTCAAAAAAAACCCCGGGAAAGTCCAGTTGCCTCTTCAAAAATCATCCGTGACCTGGATGATTGAGAATCTGCATAGACACTTCCTTCCAGAAGTTGTGGGTGCTTCATCACTGAAGGTTTTTAAGAAGAATAACAGAAGAGTGGGAAGGGACCTTGGAGGTCTTCTAGTCTAACCCCCTGCTCAAATCCTTGCCCAATCTCTTCTTAAAAACTTCCAGTGTTGGAGCATTCACAACTTCTGGAGGCAAGTTGTTCCACTGGTTAATTGTTCTAACTGTCAGGAAATTTCTCCTTAGTTCTAGGTTGCTTCTTTCCTTGATAAGTTTTCATCCATTGCTTCTTGTCCTGCCCTCAGATGCTTTGGAGAATAGCTTGACTCCCTCTTCTTTGGGGCAGCCCTTGAGATATTGGAACTGTCAGAGGCAATTAGCCCCGTTACCTTCCTGTGGTAATTGCCTGGATCGTGGCATTTTCTTTGTGTATACTTTTGAAAAATAAAACCGGAATACATCTTCTAATTAAACTCATATTTATTGTAAAGAAGAAAATAAAACATCTAACTATCTAAAATAATTAAATTGTTACATTTTTGCAAAGTTCCTACCGGCTACTTCTCAGCAGCTGGACTTCTCTGGCAAGAGAACAAAGAAAAGTGTGAAGTAGAAAGAAAGGAATGCGGATACCCGTAGTATCAGTTACTGATAAGAAATTTTGGCAAGCTACGGAAAGTCTGACAGTCCAGAAATATGAGCTCAGCTGGTAAATACAAAAACGCAGTGACAGGAACACTGCTATCATGTCACCCCGAGTCCTTCTCTTCATTAAACTAGACGTACCCAACCGTTCTTCCTATGCAGATCAGAAAGTACCACTCCGGTGGGCAGGTAACAGTGTACCACCGTATGCCTTGGGGACCCAGATTGTTGGGGGCCATATGCTGACTCTGTAAACCACTTAGAGAGGCTGTAAAAGCACTGTGAAGCAGTAGATAAATGTAAGTGCTATCGCTGTAGGTATACAGTCATGCTGGCCGATATGACAATGGAAAATGTCTTTGGAAAATGCTGTGTCCCTTGTCAAAAGAAATGGAGATGAGCACCACTCCCTAAAGTCAGACACAATAGCAGTAATAATAGCAGTAACCGTGAGAGGGATCTTAGAGGCTTGGGCAGTGGGTTGGACTAGATGACCTACAAGGTCCCTTCCAACTCTGTTATTCTAGTTCGGATTCTTAACAACTGGAAAGGGGAAACTTTTATCTTTACATTTACCTGTTTTGTTTAAGTACACATCAGTCCTTCTTCTCTCCTTGCCGCTCAGAGATAGTAGCCCAAGCAATGAGGGAGTGATGTCACAAGGGAGTGGGCTGGTTCAAACTACTACACCTGGGGGTGGGGAGGAAGGCGAGAGCCACATGCCCTGTGGTGAAAAAAGTGTGGTATCACTGTGGTCGAGAGAACTTGAGTTTCATAATTTCAAGAAAAGGAAGGAGACCTCTGCAGTCTGCTCTTGAAGACCGTCGCTTGGTTGACGTGGCCTCAGCGGCTCCCTCACCAGCTTTCCAAAATGCCAAGGGGTTGAAATCTAGATACTCCACCGGTCTCTCTCTCTCTCCATCTTCCATCCATTGTGTCTGGAGAAAGCGATCTCCACCATGTGGGGCTTGCTGGAACCTCTTCCTCTGCTAGTGACCATTTCCTTGTTTCTCGAGACCGCCTTGGCCAAGCCGTTCGTTCATCTGGTGTACAAGCAGAATGACACCTGTATGGATTTTAACGCAGCCCCAGCCTGTTTTGGTCCACCCGTGCCCTTAACTGGTCTCAAGGGTTACCTACTTGAAACGGTGCCTGCCAATGCTTGTCACCCTATAAAAGCAGCCCCAATATCGAACCGGACTCCTTCTGGCTTCGTCGCCCTCATCCGCCGATACGACTGTTCCTTCAATCTTAAAGTTTTCCATGCCCAGGAAGCTGGATACCGGGCAGCTATCATCTACAACTTGTGTTCTGATTTCTTGGTGAACATGGCGGTCAGCATGGAAGAGACAAGACTGCCGATTGTTATCCCATCGTTGTTTATCGGACGGACATCTTCTAAACTTTTAAGAAGGCAAGTTCATTCAGCAAAGGATGCCCAAATTATGGTGGTGGTACCCCAGAGTTATTACAATTCCTGCTCGGATGAAACATATGCGGCTCTTTGGGAATTAGCTGTCTATGACCTGCCGATCTGGCCAGGTTACTGTACTCAACAACTGTTCCTCAAAGTCCTACAGGAATTTGGGTTGCTCATCAGCCTCAGCATGGGGACCAGCTTCTTGCTACTGGTGAGTTGGGTGAAATGGGGCCGGCCCAACCAAGGCATCCGAGTGAAGACTTTCAAACATGGTGACAGGTATGACACCTGTGTAATCTGCATGGGGGAGTATGAAGCAGGTGACCGGCTGAAGGTTCTTCCCTGCACCCATGTCTTTCACGCTACCTGTATCAACACCTGGTTACTCATCCAACCCATGGCTGGCAAGACGTGCCCAATCTGCAAGCAGAAGGTTAACAATGCAATCTAGGGAGATGACAGAGATGCAGTTGAGAAGAAATGGAGATGGACCTCCAGATCCAATGGGAGGGGTGGGGACGGAGAAACAACACAATTCTTCCCAATTGTGGTCATTGTGCATGTTGTCTTTTAGGAATTTGGGGTTTCGATGGTCAGAAAAGAACAGGGTGGGGATGTGGTCAGGAGGTCCATTTGGCTGTATCTTGGCTTTTTGAAAATCATCGTCATTCTCATCATCACTATCATATCATATCATCCACAGACAGAAAGTTGCTAAGAAAGAATAAACCGAATGGATGGGTAGCAGCTCTTGAAATAAGGAAGGAGATTCAGAAACTATTAAAGGTAGTCCTCGACTTACAATCACAATTGAGCCCAACATTTCTGTTGTTAAGTGAAACATTTGTTAAGTGGGTTTGGCCCATTTTACGACCTTTTTGCCACAGTTCTTAAGCGAATCACTGTAGTTGTTAAGCTAATAGCATGGTTATTAAGTGAATCTGGCTTCTCTGTTGTCTTTACTTGTCAGAGGATCGCAATAGGAGATCACATGACCCCTGGGACACTGATCATTATAAATGTGAGTCAGTTGACAAGGATCTGAATTTTGGTCACGTGACCGTGGGGATGGTGCAATGGTTGTAAGTGTGCAAAGTGGTCATTAGTCACTTTTTTCAGTGCCGTTGTAGCTTTGAACGGTCACTAAATGATGCCATGGTTCCAACAGCCCAATTGAAATCAAAACTCCAAGGCTAAAGTATAGATTTATTAGGCATGTCATATTGGCACAGCTGGTGAAAGCCCGACTCTGAAGTTCGCCAGGTTTTCCCCACCCAGTTCAAAGCCCAAAGTTCTTCACCCCCATTACACACAGCCATCACATGCCCCAATCAGGTATCTCTCCAGGTGCTGGTGAAAGTGTCCTTGATTCCCAGAAAAAAGAATGTTATTTTGGCTACATGTTCCCCCAGCTATCTCTACTCTCCCATCTCCCTTTCCCACAGCTCCATCCAGCCTCACTGTGGCAAACCTGAAGATGTTCAAAGATGGCTCCAGGGTTGACAAATGAACTGTTGTAAGTCGAGGACTACCTGTATGGGTTGTGATGCAAAATCAGAGGCTAGATAGGATTTGAAAAAAACCAACTAATCCCTCATGTTCCTTTCTTCGTAAACACCTTGCTTCTTCTCTCCCAGTGTTAGCCCTTCGAGCTAATCCAGGCAAGAAGCACAACTATAAGTACTAACTCTACATTTATTGTACGGTTAAAGGAGTGTTCCTCAGCCTTGGCAGCTTGATGATATGTGGTCTAGTCTACGGGAGAGAAGGACTAGGGGTGACGTGGTAAAATGGGTGCAACTCACTTAACAATTGCTTTGCTCAGTAGGGTAATAGAAATTCCGGTCCCAATTGTGGTGATCGGTTGAGGCATATCAGTAGAATAGAAGTAGAGACAGAAATAAAACAGAATAGAGTAGAAATAGGAGTTGAGTAGAACAGGATAGAAATAATTAGAAATCGATAGGATATAGGATAGGATAGGATAGGATAGGATAGGATAGGATAGGATAGGATAGGATAGGATAGGATAGGATAGGATAGGATAGGATAGGATATAGGATAGGATAGGATAGGATAGGATATAGGATATAGGATAGGATATAGGATAGGGTAGGGTAGGGTAGGGTAGGATAGGGTAGAATATAGAATAGAATAGAATAGAATAGAATGGAATGGAACGGAACGGAACGGAACGGAATAGGAATAGGAATAGGAATAGGAATAGGAATAGGAATAGGAATAGGAATAGGAATAGGAATAGGAATAAGAATGGTTGATTGTTGTGTGAGCCGCCCTGAGTCCTTGGAAATAGGGCGGCATACAAATTTTATAAATAATGATAATAAATAATAATAATAGGAATAGGAATAGGAATAGGAATAGGAATAGGAATAGGAATAGGAATAGGAATAGGAATAGACAGGACAGGACACGACAGAATAGAACAGAACAGAATAGAACAGAACAGAAGGAATGAAGAACAGAACAGAATATAATAGAAGGGAAGGGAAGAGGAGTAGAGTAGAGTAGAGTAGAGTAGAGTAGAATAGGAACAGAACGGAGCCTGAACTAATTGTGGAAAGGTAGCGATTGGAGACCAACCTCCCCCAAATATGAATTTGCAGGATTAATTTACATCATTTGCTTGGTTTTATGCCATCTGAGTAATCACACAACGATGCCAAAGAGATAAATTCCTGTAAATGACATGAATTATGTTCCTTTTTCTGCACCGCTCGGCAAATCTGTGACTTACTTTAGGGGTGAAACTCAACTGTTGCCGGTTGCATCTGAAGTCTGTTGAGGGTGCTTTGGCATGCAAATCCATTCCCCCCCACCCACTCTGTGGTTACTTAATTCGTATTGGCAGCCCTTCCTGTAGCTCCGATGCCATCCTAGGTAATTGTGAATTTAAAGTTCAGAAGATACTCTTGGAATGAAAAACATTGGAATCCTTTGCAGCTTAAAGACTATTCACAATCCTCTTACAATAGTAATATTCACTTACAATAATTCGTTTAATGACTGTTCAGAGTTACAATGTCATTGAAAAAAAGTGGCCGTTTTTTCACACTTATGACCGTTGCAGCATCCCCATGGTCACATGACCAAAATTCAGGCACATGGCACCTGACTCCTATTTATGACGGTTACTGCCTCCCGGGGTCATGTGATCTCCTCTTGCGACCTTCTGACAACGGGGAATCCAGATTCACTTAACAACCTTGTTACTAAGTTAACAACTGCAGTGATTCACTTAACAACGGTGGCAAGAAAGGTCATAAAACGGGGCAGAATTCGTGAATTTTAGGCGCCAGCTGTGGTCGTAAGTCGAGGACTATCTGTAGTTATGAAAAGTTAAATCTATTTGTCGCCTTTTCTTCAGGTCCTATAATCAGCTTTATAAATCACACAACAACCCTTTGAGGTAGGTCGGACACAGAGGGAGGGACTAACCCAAAGTCAGCCAATGAGGTGTGGAGGCTGAAGGGGGGGGGCTAGAAACCTAGGCGTTCCCCCTCCTAGTTCAGCTCCCTACTGCATCTGATTGGCTCTTGGACTGAGAAGGAGGGTCTTGCCAAAGTCAGCCAATGAGCTTCTGGCACCGAGAAGGGAGTAGAATGTTCTAGACTTCCCATTCCTAGTTTAATATTGCAACGACATTCCACTGTTTTCGTCTTCATGTTCGTGAATCCTTTTATTGTGCATTAAGAAAGAATTGGAAACACATCATTCAAGGTTGCATTGGGCCCAACAACCGAGCAACCCCTAAGTGAATTTGGCTGCAATTGGTTAAGGTATGGAAAGGAGACCACTAGGAGATCCCCATGCCATCAGCTAAACTGGGAAATCACACAAAATTATCCCAGAAGAAGGTGCGTTAAACTGTTTCTGTAATGTTAACTAAGATAACTAAGCAGTTGTGGTTGTGAAGTCACCAAGACTTGGTGCTGGATATTTTGCTTGTTTTCCAACTTCATACAATTCACTTTTTTTTTTTTTTTAATTTCCAATTTATATACCGCCCTTCTCCCTGAGGACTCAGGGCGGTGTACAGCCAGAATTAAGAACATGAAATACAAATATTAAAAAAACAATTAAAATATATATAAATTTGGCCCCAAAATTAAAAATCACAAACCAATTTTGACCAAGCTTGGTATTCCTTCAAAAGGCATATCCTTTTGTGAGTACATTTATGGGGGTTTTGTCAAAGAGTTTACTGCAGCACACACAATCAGACAATTCAGCAGGATTCAAAACGACTTTATATATATATATAACAACACATAAGGCATACAATATACCCTTGTAGGTTTTTCCACGTTGTAGAGAGGAGAAATAGCAAGTACGAATGCAGCACAAAATGGAAGCACAAAATGGAGAAGAGAAAATGGAGGAGGGAAAAGCTAGTGCCCTCAAGCTTATATACAGAACAGTTAAGCCACGCCCAGGCTCCACACTATCTCTATGGCCCAATACAACAAATACTATGTTTCAGTTACCAAACAGCCCTCATTGGCTGACCTGTTGCTATGCCCTATTCCAGTTCATGAACATACTGACAATTTCCCCACCCCACCCCCAAATAATTTTAGTCAGAATAATACATGTAAGCCAAGGTGGCGCAGTGATTAGAGTGCAGTACTGCAGCTACTTCAGCTGGCTGCTAGTTCAGCAGATCAGCAGAGCAAATCTCACTGGCTCAAGGTTGACTCAGCCTTCCATCCTTCCGAGGTGGGTAAAATGAGGACCCAGATTGTTGGGGGCAATATGCTATTTAGTATACTGTCTTTGGTGTAAGCCGCCCAGAGTCCTCAGAGAGTGGGCGGCATAGAAATATGACAAATAAATAAATAAATAAATAAATAAATAAATAAATAAATAATAAAAGTCAACACAATTTGCAAAAAAGAAATACAAACAGAAAAACACACACAAAAGAGAGCGGGGTTTGAAAGGACAAAAAAGGGGAAAGGAAGGGAAAAAAGAAAAAAAAAGTAACTTCTTTCACCCCAGCAGATAAAAACAATTTTAATAACTTATCACCACATCTCAATAGAATACAATCTCCATGGCTCAACGCTTCGGTAAGGAAAACAAAAACGCTGCGTCAATTCATTCAAAAGACCAGTAAGGGCAACCAGATATAATTGTTTTCTTCATAATTTATAGAAGAAGAAGAGGCAGAACCAGGGGTGGAGTGAAGAGAGTAACCAGTCTAGAATCCTTACATTGCCACAAGCAACACGACTTGTTGAATTCACCCCTCTTGAATTCCCTTAATTCTTACGTAGTATCAATTTAGTTTTCACCCTTAGTCAACTAGATTCTTGTGTATAGACTTCAGCAATAAATCTTCTGAATTGAAATTTAATGTCTGATCCTGATTCTTGGAACCTGACATTGAACCAGTGGTGGGTTGCCCCCGGTTTGAACCGGTTCGCAAGAACCGGTAGTAAAACCGGCAGAGGCTCCGCCCACTGACCCGGATGTTATCATAGGTGATCTGTGCATGTGCAGATGTGAACCAGTAGTAAAGATAAATAGAACCCACCCATGCATTGAACATAGAGTCATAGGGCTGGAAGGGGCCACAAAAGTCTTCTAGTCCAACCTTCCAGCTCAAGGCAGGAGTCCTTGATTTACGACCACAATTCAGCCCAAAATTTATGTTGTTAAGTGAGAAATTTGTTCAGTGAGCATTGCCCCATTTTACGATTTTTCTCGCCTCATTTGTTAAGGGAATCACGGCAGTTGTTAAGTCACAAGTTTGCTTGTCACAAGTTTGCAAAAGGGGCTCGCGTGACCTTCGGACAAAGCAAAGTCAATGAGGAAACCAGTTTCACTTAACAACCGTGTGACTAGTTTAACTGCTTTGTTAATTTAACTAATTGTGAAGTGATTCGCTTAACAAACGTGGCAAGGAAAGTCGTCCAATGGGGGCCAAACTCACTTAACAAATTTCTTGCTTAACAACATAAATGTCGGGCTCAATGGTGGTCATAAGTTGAGGACTACCTGTATTTAACTGATTGTCTACACCAGTGATGGCTAACCTTTTTGCCGTCGCGTGCCAAAAATGGGGGAGTGAGGGGGCTCGCTCACATGCATGCCCACACCCATAATTCAATGCTCCCCGCCCCCCGTGCATGTGCACACGACCCCCCCCCATGCTCCCCTTGCTTATGGTACAGTGAGCCCGGTAGGCCTGTTTTTCACCCTCCCCAGGCTCCAGAGGCTTTCTAGGAACCTGGGGAGGGCAAAAACAGCTTTCCCCACCCTCCCAGATGCCCTCCAGAGGCCGGAAACAGCCCTTTTTCTGACTTCCGGTGGGTGGGCCCAGAAGGTCCAAAAATCAGTTAGCCGGCGCACGCATGATGAGCTAGGGCAACGCTCGCCAACAGATATGGTTATCAATTTCACCACTGGTTTCCTGTCTGGGCAGGGGGTTGGACTAGAAGACCTCCAAGGTCCCTTCCAACTCTGTCATTCTGTTATTTCCTTCCTTTAATCCTGATTAAAAACACATGATGTTCTATCTGGTAGACATGAATGCAATTTAGCATTCCATTATTTTTCCCCCTAATCCAAGTGTCTTTTTAAAAAAATCTGGGATCAGTGCCAGACTTTTAAACTATGAACTCAAACATTCCCTATAGGGGGAAGACTGTGGAAAGAAAGGTCAGAAAATGGCTTCTAATTTTAGTGGGGACAGGATGAAGAAAGAGAGGAGGGATTGAAAGAAAATTTACCATCCATATTTCCTTCCCCGTCTTCTCTTTCTTCCCCCATCATTTTACAACATCGGAGGCAGTGGTGGATTGCTCCCGGTTCGCACCGGTTCGCAAGAACCGATAATAAAAATTTGTAATAATTCGGAGAACCGGTAATAACATTGGCTGGCCACACCCCCGAACTGGTCCCCGGCCCCGCCCACCTCATCAGAGGCTTTTTCTTTTACTTTTAAACACATTTTTTCTACAACCTCTTCGGCCGAAAAAATGCTTTTAAAAGTAAAAAAAAGCCTCTGATGATTGCATGGCTCAGCTGGGATCGTCAGAGGCTTTTAAGAGCATTTTTTTCTGCAACCTCTTCGGCCGAAGAGGTTGTAGGAAAAGAAATGCCTTTAAAAGCTTCTGGTGATCCCAGCTGAGTTGCCTGATCGTCAACCTCTTAAGGTTGTAGAAAAAATGCTTTTAAAAGTAAAAAAAAAAAAAAAGTTGGCCACGCCCACCCAGTCACATTACCCCCACCACCAAGCCACACCCACAAAATAAGGCATGCCCATAGAACCGGTAGTTCTGTGCCGGAGGACTGCAAAAATATAAGCTCCTCGCGAGAACGTTCACATCCTGCAGTATTTACCCTCCTTCCAAGATAATTTTGCAATCTTGTTTATTTGGCGCAAGGAAAACACTCCCTAATTGTCATGGGAAAAAGTGAGCATTTTGACCCCAAACTCATAAATTACGTTCCTGTCCTTGGGTGGGGGTGGGGGAGCAAGTAATGCAGATGTCCAAAGCATTCCAAATTGCTCTGCACACAGATATTTCCCTGCATTTTTCTTTCAACTGAAACTCATTCCTGATGCCAGACCAAAAATTGCTCTGGAAGTTCTTTAAGAAGTGTAGGAAGTTAGCACCCACCTGTCTCCTAGGAAAATGAAATATTCTGGGAAATATTAAAAAGGCAGAATATTATATTTTCCCTAAAGGAGAAAGATGTTTCTAAAGACAAACTCAGAGCCTCAGCTCCCTGCCCCCCCACCCCCCGAGCAGATATTTTGGTGCCAACCTATCTACAAGAAAAAGGCTGAGCCAGCTTATCTACAACACAAAAGACATGGCCCTCAGGACATGATGGGATTAACCTTCACTCAAAATCCAAACCAGGACAAAGCCATTAAGCCATAATAGAAATTGCCCAAAGCCCCTTCATTACCTCATCACCCAGCAAGACTCAACCAGGCTTGGGACACAGGCAACCTACAAAGTTAGCTAAGACCTCCCGCCCCCTGAAAGTCTGACAGCCAATGGGATACATTTCTTGTACAGGAACAGAAAACTCCAAGGCGGGACTCAAGAGAGTGTATAAATATACCCCTCTCTCCATTTCATGTGCTCGTTTTGCCCAGGACCTCAAAACCATGTGGTCCTGTCCACCATTAAAGCATCTTTCCAAGCAGCCTCCATGTTTCTGGGTTCACTTGGAACTGAACCCAGATGGACATGTCTTCCAACAGAAGAAAAGAACAGGAATGAAATTCTTCTAAGTAGACTGTGAAATTCTTGGGTTCGGGGTTTTTTTTTTTGGACACAGGGGCCAAGGAGCGTGGAGACGAGCAACTCACTGCACACACTCATCTCTAAAATCTGCCTGGACTATCCAATAATTCTGGAGAAGAAGAACCATAAAGAAATTTCTCCAGTGGGATGTTTTCAAGAGTAGCCGCTAACAGCCGCTGCTAACAAAGAAATAATAAGAGAAGAAATGGTGAAGGAGAAGGAAGAGAAGAATGGGAGGAAGAGGGCAGGGGTGAAATGTAAAATTTGTTACTACCGGTTCTGTGGGCATGGCTTGGGGGGGGGGGTGTAATGTGACTGGGTGGGCGTGGCCAACTTTTTTTTTTTTTAATTTTTCAAAGCATTTTTTTTAATGCTTTGAAAAGCCTCTGGCAATCAGGCAACTCAGCTGGGATCGTCAGAGAGGCTTTTTAAAAAATACCTCTCTGACAATCAGGCAACTCAGCTGGGATCGTCAGAGACTTTTCAAAGCATTTTTTTTACCACCTCTTCGGCCAAGAGGTTGCAGAAAAAAATGCTTTGAAAAGCCTCTGACGATCCCAGCTGAGCCACTGGATCATCTGAGGTTTTTTTTTTTTTTAACTTTTAAAAGCATTTTTTTTGTCGGAAGAGGTTGTAGAAAAAATGCTTTTAAAAGTAAAAAAAAAAAAACAGCCTCTGATGATTGTGCAGCAGTCATCATGTGGGGGTGGGGCGCAGGGATTTTTGCTACCGGTTCTCCGAACCACCCACCACCATCGCTACCAGATCGGGAGATCTGGTCCGAACCAGGAGCATTTCACCCCTGGAAGAGGGGAATGGGAGGGAGAGGAAGAGGAGGTGGATGGGTGAAAGAAAAAGAAGAAAAGATGGGGAGGAAAAGAGGAGAAGGAGAGGGAATAGGATAGGATAGGATAGGATGGGATGGGATGGGATGGGATGGGATGGGATGGGATGGGATGGGATGGGATGGGATGGGATAGGATAGAATAGAATAGAATAGAATAGAATAGAATAGAATAGAATAGAATAGAATAGAATAACAGTTGGAAGGGACCTTGGAGGTTTTCTAGTCCAACCCCCTGCTCAGGCAGGAAACCCTGTACCATTTCAGAGGAGAAGTCAGGGGAGGGGGAGGAGAAGAAAGAGAGAGAAAGAGAGAGAAAGAGAAAAAAAGAAAGAAAAAAAGAAAAGAAAAGAATGGGGGGAGGAGAAGGAACAGGAGGAGAAGGAAAAGAAGGGAGGAGGAGGAGAAGGTGAAGTAGGAAAAAGTTGGGGAGGAAGAGAGAAGGAGAAGAAGAAGGAGAAAGTGGGGAGGAGGAGAAAGAAAGAGAAAGAGGAGGGAGAGGAGAAGGAAGAGGAGGAGAAGCAGAAGAATGGGAGGAGAAGGAGGAGGAGAAGAAGGAGAAAGAGAAGGAGGAGAGAAAGAGAATGAGAAAAAGGAGGAGGATTAATGGATTTCTTTTTCTGGTGAAGGTTACCAATTGTGGAAGAATAGTTCTACATATAGTTAACTCCCCAAAGAGGTTAACCACTTCCAGTTCCCATGGCAGAAGAATTAGGCTTATCTCACTAGTTCCCAGAAGCCATGGGAGGTAAGGGAAGCCAGGGAGAAATGGTGGGAAAAGCAGCATGATGAGGTCACAAAGGACCAATTGAAGAAACATCTTGAAGGTCACCTGGAGGAAGAGCAGAGCAATCGTTTGGCAGCAACCAGCAGGCCACGCCTGCTGAGAAGGGAGGAGATCGAGAAGACCCCGATCTATATGTCAACTTCACCTCTAGCTCTTGAATCTATGGAAGCTCAGCCATCTAGAAGCTACAGCTCTACAGAGCATTTATCCCTTCGGTTGCAAATCTACCCTGTTGACCTTCAAGGAGGACTAAGCCCCTGCTAAGATCTCCAGGACCTTCAACCAGCATGAGATTTCCATTTTTATGGCCTTGGCACATGGTTACCCTGTTCTTGATTCTCCAAGTCATCTCCATCAAGGCCTTCAGCCATGCCACTTGCAACCCTAACTCCACCTCACTTGACGTTGGGGTCCTACCAGCTTTCTTTCAGCCCCTGCTCCCTCCTGAAGGCCTCCGGGGCCTTTGGGTGAAGGTGAAGCCCTTGAACCCCTACCATCGCATCCAAGGGCCACCTCCGTCTTCGACCCTCCTTGTGGTCCTCTTCCGTCAACACAATTGCTCTTTCTCCAAGAAGATCCTTCACGCCCAACAAGTGGGCTCCCACACCGCCATCGTGCACAACGTGAGTTCCCAGATGCTGGAGAACATGGTGAGTGAGCCAGGCGCCAAGTGGCACCTTCACATCCCAGCCGTGTTCTCCGCACAAGAGACAGCAAAAATCCTCAAACATCTTCACCGCTCTGGGAAATCTCTTCTCGCCCTCCCCAGGCGCGAACATTTTCATTTCGCCTGGAAAGTTGCTTCCACGACTTCGGACCGTCTCGAGGTGGTCCGAAGTCCCTGCCAGTGTCTCCTCCAGCCAGCTGGCTTTTGCTGCCAGATTGCCATGTTCTACACCTGTTGGATTGTCTGCCTTACCGTGTCCGCCACCTTTATTGCCATGATGCTGACGGAGCACTATCTATCCTGGAGCAAAAGAAAGAGGAAGAACCGTTGCCTTCTCCGACAACACGAGAAGGAACCTGTCCATATTTCCTTGACCGGCTCCAAATACCAAGAATGCGCCATTTGCTTAGACCGCTACATGCAGTACGACGGTGTGAAGGTGCTCTCGTGTTCCCACGCCTTTCACAGCCGGTGTATCGACCTCTGGCACATCACCCAAGCCAGGAATAAAACCTGTCCTCTCTGCATGCAGAAAGTCATGGTGGTCACCCATCTGATGGCGATGAGGTTATGGCAACAAGAGAAATCGGTGGGACGTTGCGAGCTGACCGAGAACAAGCCATATCCAACCTGCAACCACATCTCCTGTTGGCAGAACCACGCTGTTCCCATTTCTGAAAATTAACCCCAAAGGGAAAAAAAAAAGGCCAGGGGAACCCAACAAGAAGATCAAGAAAGAAGACCTCAACAGCGATCAAAGTAAGCTGGTTTCCTGGAGAATGTTTATTCAGAAACACCTTTTGAGCTTGGACAACCAGACAGAATTGTCCTCCTGGGACCATCCCGGCTACTGAAAAGCCACCGGCCGACTCAAATAGAGGAGGATAGAGAAGAAGGAGTACACCATGGGTGAGGTGGTGGTGGAGGACATCTTTAGAACATCTATGCCCAAAGGGCGGTGGCTCAAAATGAGATATAACCTTAATAATTCTGGTGATAATGAATGAGCCTTGTGATGTGCGCCAAGACATTACAGAGAAAGTGTTTATTTAGTTGGGTCCGGTCTGATTCTTGATGGGGTTCAAATGTTGGTAAAGAAGCAGGAACCCGGAAATGGGCTCTTGTATTGTCTGATCAAGTTGAGCAAAATAACAGAGTTGGAAGGGACTTAGAGGTCTTCTAGTCCAACCCTCTGCTCAAGCAGGAAACCCTACGCCATTTCAGACAAATGGTTGTCCAATCTCTTCTTAAATACTTCCAGTGTTGGAGCATTCGCAATTTCTGAAGGCAAGTTGTTCCACTGGTTGATTGTTCTCACTGTCAGGAAAGTCCTCCTAAATTCTAGGTTGCTTTTCTCCTTGATTAGTTTCCATCCATTGCTTCTTGTCCTGCCTTCAGGTGCTTTGGAGAATAGCTTGACTCCCTCTTCTTTGTGGCAGCCCCTGAGATATTGGAAGACTGCTATCCTGTCTCCCCTAGTCCTTCTCTTCATTAAACTTGACATACCCAATTCCTGCAACCGTTCTTCATATGTTTTAGCCTCCAGTCCCCTCATCATCTTGGTTGCTCTTCTCTGCACTCTTTCTAGAGTCTCCACATCTTTTTTACATCGTGGTGACCAAAACTGGATGCAGTCTTCCAAATGTGGCCTTACCAAGGCCTTATAAAGTGGTATTAACACTTCACGTGATCTTGATTCTCTCCCTCTGTTGATGCAGCCTAGAACTGTGTTGGCTTTTTTGGCAGCTGCTGCACACGGCTGGCTCATAGTTAAGGGATTGTCCACTAGGACTCCAAGATCCCCCTCACAGTTACTATTGTTGAGCCAGGTACCCCCTATTCTATATTTGTGCATTTGGTTTTTCTTGCCTAAATGGTCGTCTTTTCTGAAAATTTAGACTCAAAAAGTTCCAAGAAACCTAATGTAGGAATGTTCCCTCTCCTCACAGTCCATCCATCCATCCATCCATCTGATCCATCCATCCATCCATCCATCCATCCATCCATCCATCCATCCATCCATCCCCTTCTCTTCTCTTCTCTTCTCTTCTCTTCTCTTCTCTTCTCTTCTCTTCTCTTCTCTTCTCTTCTCTTCCCTTCCCTTCCCTTCCCTTCCCTTCCCTTCCCTTCCCTTCCCTCCGCCTCTCTTCTCCTCTCCTCTCCTCTTCCCTCACAGTCCATCCATCCATCCATTTGATCCATCCATCCATCCCTTTCGCTTCTCTTCTCTTCTCTTCTCTTCTCTTCTCTTCTCTTCTCTTCTCTTCTCTTCTCTTCTCTTCCCTTCCCTTCCCTTCCCTTCCCTTCCCTTCCCTCCGCCTCTCTTCTCCTCTCCTCTCCTCTTCCTTCACAATCCATCCATCCATCCATTTGATCCATCCATCCATCCCTTTCGCTTCTCTTCTCTTCTCTCTTCTCTTCTCTTCTCTTCTCTTCTCTTCTCTTCTCTTCTCTTCCCTTCCCTTCCCTTCCCTTCCCTCCGCCTCTCTTCTCCTCTCCTCTCCTCTTCCCTCACAGTCCATCCATCCATCCATTTGATCCATCCATCCATCCCTTTTGCTTCTCTTTTCTCTTCTCTTCTCTTCTCTTCTCTTCTCTTCTCTTCTCTTCTCTTCTCTTCTCTTCTCTTCTCTTCTCTTCCCTTCCCTTCCCTTCCCTTCCCTTCCCTTCCCTTCCTGTCTCGTCTCGTCTCGTCTCTTCTCTTCTCTTCTCTTCTCTTCTCGTTTCTTCCCTTCCCTTCTCTCCTCTCTTCTCCTCTCCTCTCCCCTCCCCTCACAGTCCATCCATCCACTTGATCCATCCATCCATCCATCCCTTTCTCTTCTCTTCTCTTCCTTCTCTCTTCTCCTCTCCTCTCCTCTCCTCTTCTTTTCCCCTCTGTTCTTCCTTTCTTTTTCCTTCCTTTCCCTTCCCTTTCCTTCCCTCCTATACCCTTCCCTCTTATTTCCATTTCTACAAATGTCAGCACATATTTCTCTAATTCAAAGTTGCATACCTAAAGCCAACTTTAGAAACTGTAGCATTTTGGGAGAATAATTTATATAACATACATATACATTATGGAGAAAAGCATACACTGTAGAAAAACACCCAATGATATGTATTACTGGATTTTGGGGGAGTTGATAGTTTGGGAGAAAATTCACAAACTGGTTTGGAAGCCGAATGAGGGTATGTAAACCTTGCTGAAAGCAAAACAAAGCTTCCCTCACAGCTTTCAAATTATATCAACTGTTTCTTCTGTTGTGAATCATATTATATTGTCTCACCTGTTGTAGTGTTTATCTCAGTGTTTAATTTTTACACCCCACAGCTTAATTTTCATGTAGTTCTGCGGTGTCCCAGAAAAAGTTTTAGTCGACGCTGGCATAGAAATAGGTTTGAAGAAAAAGGGGTCCCTCATTTCACCCTGGAAATTGTGGTTGACGTCATCGGGTGCAGAATTCAGACAGCCGGTTCCTTGGTGGGGACTCTTCTTGGCACGTTCCCCAAATCTCTCCAGATTATTTATGATTCAGGATGAAAGGGAAGAAAACACTGGAGTTCCTGGTTCTATTTGATTGGACTTCTTATGTTGGGAAGAGGGAGAAGAGAGAGAGGAAAATAGGAAAGAGAAGGGAAGGAAGGAAAAGGAAGGAAAGAAAGGAAGGGGAGGGGAAGGAAGGGAAGGGAAGGGAATAAAGGGAAGGGAAGGAAGGAAAAGGGAAGGGAGAGGAGGGGAGGGAAGGAGAAGGCAGGGGGAGGGAGGGAAGAAAGGAAGGGAAGGAAAGGAAGGGAAGGGAAGGGAAGGGAAGGGAAGGGAAGGGAAGGGAAGGGAAGGGAAGGGAAGGGAAGGAAGTAAATAGATGAGGAATGGAGTGGAATAGAAAAGAGTAGAGTAGAGTAGAGTAGAATAGAATAGAATAGAATAGAATAGAATAGAATAGAATAGAATAGAATAGAATAGAATAGAATAGAATAGAATAGAATAGAATAGGAATAACTTTATGGTCACTTTGAATGTACACTACTCGGCATACATTAAAATAAAATTTCGTTGCATACAGCTCTCAAAGGATCACCACCTCCAATATCCACTAGATGAATATGACAAAATAAATAAATAAAGACAAGATTATGTATATACCTATATATGTTATACAGTATGACACAGAGAAACACCGGTGTCTAGTTACAGGAAGGGGAAGGGGAAGGGAAGGGAAGGGAAGAAAGGGAAGGGAAGGGAAGGAAGGAAAAGGGAAGGGAGAGGAGGGGAGGGGAGGAGAAGGCGGGGGAAGGGAGGGAAGAAAGGAAGGGAAGGGAAGGGAAGGGAAGGGAAGGGAAGGAAGTAAATAGATGAGGAATGGAGTGGAATAGAAAAGAGTAGAGTAGAGTAGAGTAGAGTAGAGTAGAGTAGAGTAGAGTAGAGTAGAGTAGAGTAGAGTAGAGTAGAATAGAATAGAATAGAATAGAATAGAATAGAATAGAATAGAATAGAATAGAATAGAATAGGAATAACTTTATGGTCACTTTGAATGTACACTACTCGACATACATTAAAATAAAATTTTGTTGCATACAGCTCTCAAAGGATCACCACCTCCAATATACACTAGATGAATATGACAAAATAAATAAATATAGACAAGATTATGTATATACCCATATATGTTATACAGTATGACACAGAGAAACACCGGTGTTTGGGTTACAGGAAGGGGAAGGGGAAGGGGAAGGGGAAGGGAAGGGAAGGAAGGGAAGGGAAGGGAAGGAAGGGAAGGGAAAGGAAGGGAAGGGAAGGGAAGGGAAGGGAAGGGAAGGGAAGGGAAGGGAAGGGAAGGGAAGGGGGAAAAAGAGGAAGGAAGAGGAAAAGAAAATTGAGAGAAGATGGGGGAAAGAGAAATTTTCATATTTCTGGAGAAGACTTAGCAAATTAATTTATTCTGGTTTAATCTTATCTTTCTAGTTATTAAAAGAAAAGTACTTTCTACATTTTCTCTTGAAACGTTTTAACAAAAAGCAGGCTTTAATTAGCTTTCAGCTTTGAAGTTTAAGGAATAGAGAGAAAGGGAGACAAACAGAGCTGGAGATGCAGTTGCTCAGATCTCCTTCCGCAACCAGTGGAGAAGCCACCATATTAGCTAAGGTTGAAGGGGACTTGGAGGTCATCCAGTCCACCTCTTGGTCAAGGCAATCCCCGGGAAAGCAGAAAAATCACAGAACTGGAGGGTTTTTTGTATTATCGAAGGGAGAAAAGATCCAGGGGTGGACTGCTGGGAGTTCGCAGGGGTTCGGGAGAACCTCTAGCTAAGATTCTGTGCAGTTCGGAGAACCCCCCAATCCCACTCCCGGCTGGCCCTGCCCACCCCTTCCCTCCCCTCCCAGAAGTCCCCAAGCGGCCTGGTTTGGATGCAGGTAAGTGCATGGAACGCGTGGAGGCTTTGGGAGGGCAAAAAACGGGCCTATTGGAAGTTCAGGAAACAGGCCCATTTCCAGCCTCCAGAGGGCCTCCGGAGCCTGGGGAGGCCGTTTTCTCCCTCCTGGAGGCTCAAGAAAAGCCTCCGGAGCCTGGGGAGGGCAAACACACACACACACACACACACACACACACACACCGTGGTGCAGGAGGCTGCCTAGGCCACACGCACCATGGCCACGCTCACCCAGCAACCAGGCAGAGAATCCCTTGCTAAAATTTTTGGAGCCCACTCCTCAAAAGATGAGACCGACCCTTCATCTATACATCTAGCTATTGTAGCATAATTATCCAAGGCTATCCTGAATTTCTTTAATCCTATTTAATTACAGGCGGGCCTGTAATTAAATCCCAGCACCCCCACGATCACAATTCTTCCAAGCTTAAAGGCTACTGGTAATCCTCAATTTACAACCATCCCTTTAGTGACCGTTTGAAGTTGCAATGGCTCTGGAAGCGGCCGGTCCTTGCACTTAAAGGACCGTCACTGCATTCCCCTGATCACATGATCAGAATTTGAGCACTTGGCAACCAGCAAGCATTTATGATGGTTTGCAGCCTCCCAGGGTCGCGTGATCGCCATCTGAAACCTTCCCA